CCCTCCCCTCCCTGAAGCCACTGACCTGTGGGCCCAGCCCCGTGGGAACCTGCGCCCGGAGGCGGGGGCCAGCCCTGCTGCCCGCCTCGCGCCTGTCTCATTCCTCTGGGGCGTGATTGGGTGCACCTGGGGTGGCATCTCGGGTTATAGATTTGGCTACAATGGCAATCAGTAACAAAGACCCCATGACCACTCTCCTACAATGTGACTTTTTATTTGGGGGCAAAATAATGTCACCCGTTTGTCTGTAGACCCACACTCTCCGGATCGCTCACCCTCCGACAAGCTCACAGAGGTCGGTGCATTTGCACTCCCAGAGGCAAATCAAGAAGTAATTATAGAAGAAGTTTTCTAGCGCCTCACACCGTCACACCTCCGACAGGAGCTGTGAAACGGCAAGAAACAGTTGCCCCAGCTGTGTCTGCAAACCGACTGCACCGGAAGCAGAGACCAGACGGTCCGCACTTGTCCCTGGACACGAGCCATGGCCAGGTTAGTAAAGTGAGGATGCCAAGGAGGACGTGTGCTTGGACTCATAAAACCCCAGGCTCCAGCCCCCTGCATCCTCACCAGGGAAAGTAAGACATCTTCAACAGTAGACTAGGTTCCCCACCTAAATAGTCTGTAGCTGGAACTGACCTCGAAATGTCACCAGACACCCAGGCTGACCCCCTCCATCCCATCCCCTCCCTCAACCCCCACCTTTCTAACCTTGTGGATCCCCAAAGGTTCCAGAAGCTTTTATCCTGGGGATACACATGGTAACTTTGTATCTTCAGCCATACCAAAGGTTGATATATATAAAAGTATAAACCAGTTCTCTTATCTACACATGTCAGACATCTAGTTTGAGTCCCTCTTCCACCCTCAAGTTGATTGACCAGGTATTTGATGGAATTTCGGATGCTGACCCAACTCAGACCGAGGTGAACTCTCTTGCCTATCTTGGTTTGGGTGTTCTCAGGCATTCAAGGCGGAGGAAAGGTCATCTCAAACGGCCTTGATAGCAAGTTTTCTAGGATGCACAACACGATTGGCAAGATGCATCACCTTAGCAACCAACATAATAAAAGGTTGACTTCTGTGGAGATCACAAGAATGAAATAAACTCAGCTATTTGAGTAAGCGGGGGGGAAGCATTTAAAATAGGTACCATGTCTTTCTACATGGTTTAACTCAAATTTTAATTTTGATGTGCTGTAAAATCACACGTAGCAAGACTATAATTACAGGTAACCATGTACTTTTTAACCCCCGCTCCCCAAAAGCCAAGTTCACATGATGAAATAATTATGAAGTCTGAAGTTTTTGTTTAAAGCTTTTTATACACACACTCACATACAGACATGACAGAAGTTGCCAAGGAGAATTTTGCTTTGACTCTAAAAGGCTTCTGGGGCTTGATTTTTATTACCATGAGCCTGTACCAAGCCTATGATTTTTCTGTCTGAAACACAAAGGCTGAATTTGGTATTCTTATTTTAGGTCTAGATGATCTGTCTGTGCTTTAAAGCGCACGGAAAAGAAACAAGAGAAAGATGGAGAGGAGAAAGGGGAGCTGTTCAAATTCCAAACATCTGGCAAAGAGCCCAGCTGCAGCTCACCCTACCCTCAGAGGATGATACTGAAAGTAACCCCGTCTCGGAAGTTCATGGAATTAACAAAGAGGGAGGGGAAGGGGCAGGGACATTGATGTATATTGAAGGCTTCATTTATTCCAGGCTGTGGGCTGGGGATCTAGCGTACCACAAACTCATTAACCTTGGTGACAACCCTATCACCATCACTTCAGCTGCATTATCTACTGCAGCTTAGCAAACCACCCTGAGCCTCAGCGGCTCCCAGTTCTGTGGGTGGACCGTGCTCAGCTGGGCAGTTCTCGCCTGGGACCTCTCATGTGGTCGCTGTCAGATGGCAGCTGGGGTTGGAGTCCTCCGAATGCTCACCTGGGCTGGACACCACGATGGCTTCTTCGCGCACACGACTGCATTTCGGCTGGAACGCCAGGACAGCTGGCACTAGCCAGCCTCTCCCTCTATCTGGCCTCTCCAGTAGCAGCTCAGGTGCCTTCATAGCATGGCGGGCGACTTCCCGTAGAGTGAGTATTCTTTTTTCTTTTTTTAAAATAATTTTTATTGCTTGAATCTGTTTCAATCTCACCAGGGCCATCTCAACCTCACCATGGCCATTTCAACCTCACCAGGGCTGTCCCGACCTCCCTGGGGCCATTCCGACTTCACTGGGGCCGTTTGAGGTCCGGACGGCCCTGGTGAGGTTGAAACAGCCCCGATGAGGTCGGGATGGCCCTGGTAGAGTGAGTATTCTAAGGCAGGAACCAGAGGCTGCCAGTCTGTTGAGGCTCCTGCATGGAAGCTGGTGCAGCATCCCTTCCGCTGTGGGATGTTGGTCAGACTGTCACAGAGACACCCCGCCGCCTCCCCAAGTGAAAGGGCATGTGGCAGGGACATCGCTCACACCTTCAGACAGCAACCTGTCAAAGCATTTGTGGCCATTTTATAAATGAGGAAACAGAGTCTCAGGTTAAAAATTCCTCCAAGGTCAAATATCCTATGAGGCACAGAGCCAACATCTGAAAGGACAAATAGCAGAGCACAGGGCGAATGTTCAAAGTGGTTTGAGCTGCTCTCCCTCCCCCTCTCCCTCGCTCTCTCCCCACTTTGTATCTTTTAAGCTAAAAGAAATGGTGGTGAGGGCGCTAAACTGTGAGAAACTTGGAAAGGAAAGAAACATCTTGCCTACTTCTCATTTTGCCTCAGCACCTGGAGTTTCTGTCACCTCCTTTGATCTGTACAGCTGATCTTAGATCTGAGAGCTTCCAGAGATAATCCAGTTTCTGAAATTCCTTAGTATACTCGAATATAAACTCAGTAACTATTTATGGGATGTCTGAGGCATGGGTGTACCAGGCACTATGCTGGGTCCCGAGGCTACACTGGCAAACAAGACCAGACGTTGCCATCACTGCAGTTAACATTTAGCAAGGGAGACAGAGAAATGAATGAGCAGTTTCAATGCCCTGAGAGGAAACGCTTTGATAGGGGAAATTCAGGAGCTATGGGATTACAAGCTAGGACTAAAAGCCCGGACTATGGGAGTCAAGGAAGAGTATGTGGAAGTTGAAGTAGTTGAAAAGTTTGTTTTGTGTGTGAAGCAGGGGCCTTGGAGAGGGAGAGGTGGGTTGGTTTGCAGAGGATCTAGGATTTGCCAGGAGACACTAGGTACTCTGTTTGTGGACTATAAATGAAAGCAAAGGCCTTGCCTTGAGAGAATTCAAGGAACAGGATAGTTCCTAATGGGTGGACAGAGGGAGGAGTGCCGGTGATTGCAGGGAGGGACACCCGTGTCCACGAAATCATCCCCAGAAGTTGTGTAGCCCTCCCTGCGGAGACCATGCCCCATGGCACCAAATGAGCTTCCCCTCTGCCTGCATCGCCAAGATTTCTCCCAGACCAGCCCCCTCTGAGCATCCAGGCCTGGGTCAACAATGAGACTTTTTGTTTTTCTTGACCTTTGTCAACCCTGCCTGTTGAGGTCTAGTAAACAGACACCCTTTCAGCTCCTTTAAACAGAAAATTACTCTAACACAGGGAATTACCTGCTCTCAGTGTTGTCAGAAGGGCTAGAGTGATGGGCTCTGGGCTGGGTCTGCAGAAACGATTCCCAGAGCTGCAGAGCTGGCCCGCCCAGGGAGCTCTCCCATTATCCAGAAGAGGGGGATCAGGAGGTCGCACTGCCGCCGCTGCTGCTGTCTTTCGGGGCCCACAAAGGTAGAGGCTGAACATGCAGAAGGGGCCAGTGTCTCCACAGGGAAGCCTGGCAGCAGAAAGCACCCAGCCACAGAGAGACGGCCTCCTCCCTGCTTCTGCCTGGCAACTCTTACTTGAGTACACTAGCTAATGAAGCTATTTTGTACTCATTACCCTCGCTGCAAAGGAGTCTGGGAAATGTGTTTAGCTTTCTAGTCTCAGCCATACGTGAAGACACACTAGACATGGAAAGGAAGCAGAGTGTGAGCCCACTGTTCCCTCCGCACTTCTCGTGCGTCCCAAAGAACATAGAGTCCCAGAGAAGGAGAGATAGCGCCCCCTCAGACACTTAATTTGCAATGGTAAGAGTATAATGTTCTTTTTCAATTGATTGCTTTGAGAATACCGTTCAAGACCGCTATTTCCGTTGCTTTTATGTAATACATACCAGCACCCATTTCTGTTTTCCTATAGTATGACACATGGAGCACCTATGGATTTTACTGGCTCAGAATCCTCTTCCATTCTTTTGGAAGAGCGCCCCAGTTTTCCTTTGGAAACCTCCCCTGCCCCATTCTGTTTTTCCAAGTGGAGGTGGGTGGTGGGGTGGTATCAATTCCTAATTTCAGGGGTGGGTACCAGTCAGCCACAGGTATTCCTAATTTCAGGGCCGGCCCATTGACATTCGACCGTCAGAGGGAAGTTTTGCTGGGAAAAGGAGTGGTAACACACTGGTGTCAGTCAGCTAGTAGAAAGCGAGCCTGGGTCTCCAGGTGGCCACCTCTTGGGGAAGTCCGCCTCCTAGTGCAGCCAACCCAGAAGCAAGCAAGCCTGAGAGGCAGAGACAGCCCGGGCCTGGTGTCATCTTTTCGGGCCTTGCATTCAGCTGTGCCTGACAATCCAGACTTACTCCTTGAAATACCGGTTACCGGAGCCAGCGCAGCCACGTTTAGAGGAAGCTGTTGCCCTGGATCTCTGTCACTTGTACTGAACAAGCCCTTGCACATCCTGCTGTGTGGAGCTGTGGTCTCTGCACGAGCCACTCTGAGACTGTCCCCTGGTGTCAGCCTCTTCCGAGCCCAGCCCCTGCTCCTTCACTGGAAATCATGGCTGTCCCTTCCTGTTCATTCCACCTTTGCCCCCATCAGTGCTTTCTAGCAATCTATAGAAACAAACACACAATTGAAAAACATATTAGTACATCCAGGCTGTTGAGTAACACTCCCTCCACGTTCTGTGTGGAGTAGGGTTCGGTATCTGAAAGAGGAGCCGCACAGCAAATGAGAGAAAAAGACACGAGATAATTTTGGATTATTGGGGGACCAGGCGGCCAAGTCCCAAAGGACTTCCCCCGATGCTCAGGCCGCTCCAATCTTTTATTGATCTGGAGTAGCCCTTAGGGTAAGGAGGTTTCAATGACACACAGATCAGCAGACAATTTCCAGGAATAGACAGGCAATGGGAAATTAATCAGCACTAAAAAGAAATGAACTGCCCTGGACAGGTCGCTCAGTGGTTGGAGCGTCCGCCCTCGGACGGAAGGGTCTCAAGGTCAACTCCCAGTCAAGGGCACATACCTGGGTTGTAGGTTCCCCAGCCCTGGTAGGGGCATGTGCATGAGGCAACCAATCGATGTGTCTCTCTCATGTCGGTGTTTCTGTCTTTTCCCCCTCCCCCTCCCCGTCCTCCCTCTCTCCCACTCTCTCTAGAAATCAATGGAAAAAATACCCTGAGGTGAGGATTTAAAAAGAAAAATTAGAAGAAATTAACTACTAGCCACCAAGAGACATGGAGGAAGCCTACATGCCTATGACTAAGTGTAAGAAGCCAGTCTGAAAAGGCTGCAGACGGTATGATTCCAACTCTATGACGTTCTGGAAAGGGCAAAACTAAGAAGAGAGTAAGATCGGTGTTTGCTGGAGGGCGGGGAAGGGGTGGGGAGAGGGGGTGAACAGATGAAGCACCGAGGAATTTTAGGGTAGTAACACTGCTCTGTACGATACTATAATGCTGGGTACGTGTCATTATACATTTGTCCAAACCCTTAGAATCGACAACACCCAGAGTAAACCCTAATGTAAACTATGGAATCTGGGGGACAGTGATGTGTCACGGTAGGTCCATCAGTTGAAACAAATGTACTGCTCCAGTGGGGGATGTGGATAGTGGGGGGAGCTGGGCCTATGTGGGGCAGGGGCTGTATGAGAAATCTGTGCCTTCTGCTAAATTTCATTGTGAATCTAAAACTGCTCTAAAAAATAGTCTATTTTTTTTTAAGTAGGGATGTTATATGGAGTGTCTCTGCTAAGAAATTGTCCAGCGTAGTCTAGAACAGCCGTGGGCAAACTACTGCCCGCGGGCCGGATCCGGCCCGTTTGAAATGAATAAAACTAAAAAAAAAAAAAAGACTGTACCCTTTTATGTAATGATGTTTACTTTGAATTTATATTAGTTCACACAAACACTCCATCCATGCTTTCGTTCCGGCCCTCTGGTCCAGTTTAAGAACCCATTGTGGCCCTCGAGTCAAAAAGTTAGCCCACCCCTGGTCTAGAATCTTCCAGTAATGGGAACTCCCAACCATCCACAGCAGCACACATGCTGAGCTGGTATCTTTTCTCCTGCAGCCTCTTTCCAGAAGGACAGACCCTGGTGTGGTCTGCAGCTTCCCAACACCTGGTCCATTGCTCCTGTGCCTTTCGTGGTAGGTTGGAGAGGACCGACGGACTGGTAAGGAAAGGGTGGCTGCCTGTGATGCGGATTGCAAAGGAGCAGGAAACAGGAAGTGTGCCCCCTTCATCTGTTTGTAATCATCTTTTTCAATTTTAAAAAATTTAAAAGAACCGTGATTTGGACACAGCTGTTGAATTAGAGAGGGGAAGGAACTCCTTCGGCGCTGCTCATTTTCTAAGACATCTCTGAGCATGGGCATAGGGACAGATGTAACTGAGCATCAGAGAGGGTTTCATCCAGTGGCTCTATGCAGTGTGTGTTCGCTGTCTTACTGGCTCTGCACTCCACTACGGAGAGCTGTGCCTGGTGCACAGGGTGCTCAATGATTCTTTTTTTGTTAACCTTCCTCTAAGGCAGTGGTTCTCAACCTGTGGGTCGCGACCCCTTTGGGAACCGAACGACCCTTTCACCGGGGTCGCCTAAGACCATCAAAACACATATATAATTACACATTGTTTTTGTGATTAATCACTATGCTTTAATTATGTTCAATTTGTAACGATGAAAATACATCCTGCATATCAGATATTTACATTACGATTCATAACAGTAGCAAAATTACAGTTATGAAGTAGCAACGAAAATAATTTTATGGTTGGGGGTCACCACCACATGAGGAACTGTATGAAAGGGTCATGGCATAAGGAAGGTTGAGAACCACTACTGTAGCGAAACACTGGACTGAAAGACAGAAAATCCAGGTTCACAAGGCAAAGTCATAGGGAAGGCAGATGGGAACTGACTTCAGTACAAAGGACACACACACACATACCTACCTACCTTCGGACAAGAGAAAGCTCCCTTACTGACTAGAGAACACTTCAACTTTGAAAAAAAGTAAGATCTTTACGTTCCTGCAATGGGCTTTCCCTCCCCCTCCCACATACCTCAGTTGGTTTCTATGGCAGCAAATGGCCCACATTTCCCCCTTCCACACTCCAGAGAAAGAAGTACTAGTGTTCTACAATTATATGGCCTTGCTGCTCTATCAGATTTTATCTCTCTTATTCTGGAAGGTTTCCTCCACCCTCTTTCTCTATTTCAATGTAATATATAAACTGAAGGTAAAAGAAAAGGTGAAAATAATTCTCTTTTTCATTCAGGGCAAATCTGAGACTTTCTTCTTTCAAATGATTTGAGTCTTAATACCCCAAGTCATTTTTCTAAGAACATAGAACACCTATTTGATAAGCAATCTGATGACAATAACTCAGAATAACTTCATGTTTTAAACATTACTTGGGCCCTGGCCAGTGTGTCTCAGTTGGTTGATTGTTGTCCCGTGCACTGTTCACCAGTTCAACTCCTGGTCAGGACACATGCCCAGGTTTCAGGTTCCATCCCAGTTGGGTGTGTGTGGGAGGCAACTGATGTATGTTTCTCTCTCACATTAATTTGGTGTGGTTTTTTTTTCCCTCTATCTCTGTCTCCCCATCTCCCTTCCTCTCTCTCTCAAAATCAATAAAAACATATTTTATGAAAACATTACTTGGGATAACTAGTGAATTTCCACTGTGTTTTCATTGGAAGTAGGAACACTTATAGTGCCCATTTTCCCAAAGCCTTCTAGAACGTTAGGAACCAACATTACTGCATTATTCACAAGGACATTGTCAGAAGTTCCCTTAGTTCAATGAAAGATCTAACAGTATTGCAGCGAAGCAGTACTAATGTTCTTTTAGCTCTTTTAGTTCTTTTCTTCTTTCCTCCAGTGAGAAGAATCCAGCAAGCATGTTCATCTACCCCTTCTCTCTCTAACCCATCGGTTGTACAGAGACAAAGGAGCAGAGAGAAATAGGTATCAGTCTCAGTCCCGCAGGAATGAGTGTTCTCATGACACTTGACTAGCTGCTGTGATCAGGAGATAAGGCCCAGGCAGAGAAGGTTCAGAAGGGTTCAGACAATTGAGTCTATTGTTTAACGGAACCCTTTGGCCTCAAACTCCTTAGAAGGTTGGACACACCTACTATTTGCCCTCTAATTTCTTCTGGGGATGCCTAAAGAATCCTTAGGTGACTCTTTTTAAAAAATATATATGTATATTTTTATTGATTTCAGAGCAGAAGGGAAAGGGAGAGAGAGATAGAGACAGAAACATCAATGATGAGAGAGACTCATTTATCGGCTGCCTCCTGCACGCCCCTTACTGGGGATGGAGCCTGCAACCTGGCCCTGATGGGAGTTGAATCATGACCTCCTGGTTGTGGGTCTACACTCAACCACTGAGCACGCTGGCCGGGCCGTAGGTGACTCTTTAGGCATCCGTATTTGTTTTTGCACAGAAAGCAAAGCCTCTCCCCATAGCCTCAGTTCCTTAGCATAATGTACTAAGCTAGCAAGAAGTAAAACCTCGTCATATATAGCCACCTAGGATATGAGGAAAGAACAAGCTTCACTCCCCTCCCCCGATTCCTCAAATCACAGGGAAAGTGCTGTCAGAATTATAGTCACCATGAGATACCTTCTAAGCCCTAATTAGCACCAACGTCTCAGACCATTCAGTGTTATCTAAAAGGCCATATGTGAATTGTAGAAGTGGAGCCCCCAAGTTAGCAGAGGCATATAGTTACTTGGTTGGTAAAAATGCAAACGGTGATGTGATCATTCTTTAAACAAGTGTGAAATTCAGTTACCACCAGAAAGCAATTTCATTTTAGCAGTGGCCTATGAAAGCTTAGGCATTTCACCAATACATTTGCATTGTTATTGCATTTTTCTTCTGATTAAAAACGAAAATGGATAGCAGACGAGAAAAATTTGCTGTTACGGTTTTTAGGAAATGCACAGATGACTCATGTACTCACTTGATTTGACAAAGGTACTGGTTTCTATATAAAGAAACAATTTAGTCCCAAAATAGAAGTTGCCCAGAGCAGAATGTCGCTCATGGAGGAATCACACATTCCAAGCACGGGAACACAGAGGTTGGTATGCTGGGGCATCTGCTGGGAGTGCTGGAGGAAGACCATTACTAATGCCTGTGGAATGTAAGGCTGTCCACTCCAGGACCCTCTTGTGTAATCTGAGACAATTCTTAACGGACTCCAAACACAAATATCAATGAAAATATATATTTTTTTTTGCGAAGAATGTGTATTCCCATGCTAACTGGGAAATATGTTTAGCTCAATGATAAGTTATAACGGATTTTGTGTCATATAATATGTTGAATATTCAATAAGATTAGGCATATGAAAGTACCCTATAAATCAGTGATGGCGAACATATGACACACGTGTTAGAGGTGACACGCGAACTCATTTTTTTGGCTGATTTTTCTTTGTTAAATGGCATTTAAATATATAAAATAAATATCAAAAATGTAAATCTTTGTTTTACTATGGTTGCAAATATCAAAAAATTTCTATATGTGACACGACACCAGAGTTAAGTTAGGGTTTTTTCAAAATGCTGACATGCCGAGCTCAAAAGGTTTGCCATCACTGCTATAAATTATAAAAGTTTAATATTTTTATATATTTATTATGAGAATGAGTTATTTTTCCAGCCCGGTGGTTCCTTACTCAGTTGTTGGGAAGTTTTATATTTATAACTCAGTCAAATCCTCTCCCAAATTCCTCTTCACCTGGGCCTAGATGAGGAGATAGGCTGGAAGGACCACACTGAAGTCGTTATTACGTTCGTTTGCCAAAACACACAATAAAGCCAAGAGCTGATGCATCCCTCTACTCCCCATCCACAGGCAAGAGAGGGAATTGTTTGTCTTGGACAAACTATTGCACTCCATTATCCAACAGACCCACTGGGGTTTTAGGGCAGAAAGGGGTAGCCTTCTTGCCGTTACAGCACACGCCAGGTCCAAGAGCGTGGTGGGAACATTATCCAGACTATTGCACTATGCCACATCAGAATCCAGAAGCTTCTCAACAAATCAGCAAAGCTGTAGGCCCGTAGCAGCTTCTCCTCCACCATCATGCAGCAGCCTCGCCCATAGTAGGCCCTTCTGTGGCATGGCCTGCCTCTCTCTGGCCCTCCGTCCTTCCTCTGCAGTTCACAGCATGCCCAGCGCCCCTTGAGTGCAATTGCCAATGGCTTCAGCTTGTTGTAGTCTTCTCCATTTGACACGCTACATTATTTGTCTGTCTGTTTATTAGCCAGCTCTCCACACTGGAGCGTAAGCTCATGAGAGTCGAGATTTTATTTTCTTCACTGCTCTATCTCCAGATCCTACAAGAGTGTTTAGCTCAAAGCACATTTTAGCACTTAATTGGTGTTTGTGGGAAAAGAGTGAATGCATGAATCTGTGCATTTATATGCTTTGAGAAAGGCGGCAGTGGAGAGAGCCCAAGGAAGCTAGAATGGTGGAAGGGGATGCCTAGGGGAGTCAGGCCTGGAGGGGTGGGCAAGGGTGGGGATGAGAACACAGGTAGAGACTGGCTTGGGGGTGAGATGGGCTGCTCCAGTCACTGCTCAGTCTTGGCTCACTCCTTCCGCTGATGCCAGTGGGCTGACAGAGAGGTTGGGTTTGCAGCCTGAGGTGACTTTGAGGTGGAGGCGATGGAGAGAGTGCTACCGATGGCCAGCTTGGGTCTCAGGGAAGTAGAGTAAGGTCAGTGGCTCAGAAGGGGGAGGCGGAGTAGGAAGTGGCAGGGTGGTGGTGGGAAGGCTTGAGGAGGACAATGCTTTGGAGAACCCACAGGCCAAATGAAATGAAAGAACAGGAATATGGAGTGTGTGCGAACATGTGATGCATACAGTATTTGGTCTTCATCCACAGTTCCCGGCTCACAGCTCCCCAAATCCCTTGGAAGTTCCTAATGTTGAGAGTGAGCAAGGTATCTTTTGTATGCTAATGAAGTGGCTTTTGAACCCTACTTAAAAGTAGGGGCTGTTTTCCAGGACAACCAACCAAGCGATTAGAGGTTTAGAACTTCCAGTCCTACCCCCACCGCCCACCTCTGGGCAGGGAGAGGGGCTGAAGATTGAGTGCCCTTGCCAATGGCCAGCGACTGAGTCAATCATGACCGTGTATGAAGCCCCCATAAAGGCCCAGGAGGACAGCTCATTATTGGCCTTGCTTTTGAGAGCTTCCTCAGTGGGGAACCAGAACACTTTCCTGTTCCACCGACTGGGCCCCCGGCTCCTCGAAGACAGAACCTCC